ACAGTCACCTTGTCCCCGGTCCAAAAGACTCACCTCAAGCGAGAAGCAAAGGGTGCTGAGCTACCCACATCCAAAAGGCAGTGACCTAGATCAAAGAACCTGGCTCCATTACCCGCTTTCCTGGTAAAACTGCAGGGTACAGACCCGATTCCACACGTATCAGCCATGATGATTCCTTCTTCTCAATGCATTGCTAGGTGCCGCAGCTTGTTTAGGATGCAGCAGCGTGCCCACTCAGAGCTGCTACTGCTGCTGGTTGAAGCCCTGGCCGGTCCACATCCTGGTTGCTCTCCTCCATAAGCCCCATCTCGATGGTGTCTGTGCTCCAAGGCTGCCTGGCTTTCAGGAGTCCCCCTGCTCCCGATTCAACTGACAGGCTGGAACATCTCCCTGGGTCTATCACGTGCCTCTTTATAAAGGACTTGCTTTCAGGATCCACAGCTCTAGCACAGGATCCGACTCCACAACCTTCTGGCCCCAAGGTGAAGCTCAGCCATCTAATGAGTCATGCTAGCGCGCGAACGACGACGACTCGTCACTGCCTTGGCGACTCCATCCATCACGGCTCTCCCCTGCTCGGTGGCTATTTCGCGAGCGCTCTCCCTAGGCATCTGCTGTCATCTTCACGGGCTTTCAACAACTCTCGGGAAGACTTTTTCCCATCATTCACAGCTCATTCTTGTCGCTGTTTGAGTTTGAAAAATATTTAAAGGGAGAAATGCTTACTGTAGAGGTGGCGTAGGCTAGCAGTAAAAGCAGGAGGGTATAAAGTCAAAACTCCTGGTTCTCTTCTATCCACAGATCTTTGCCTAGCTGTCCCTCAAAGTCTGGAACCGCAGGATCTCACCCCAAGACGACAGCTTCCATACAGTCTCCATCACATACTCAGAACCAATTCCTATCAAGTGGCTTTTAAAAGGAATTGAAAAGGGCTTGATGGTTTAAATGCAACGGGGCAATAATTTGCTGTACATTCAAGCCTCTCTATCCAATCATCCTTCAATCTAACCTCCTGCTCTTAGGGCAGGCAGTCCCCTCCAGGCACCTAATGTCACCAAGCCAGCCAGACAGCTTGGAAATCATGAGTATTGATTGCACCTGTCCAATTTGCAGGTAATAGAACATGCAAGCAAATTAGCCTTCGCACAAATACCCGCCATCCTTAGGGATCGAATGATGGGAGGCACCGTGTACCTGAGGTGGTCAATACAAACATTATCTGGGCACCCAAGGAGCCTAAGCACAAGTTGGCAGCATGGGCCGACGGTCACAGCAAGAGACTGGGTTCTGTTGTCAGCTGTCATTACGTCCCTGTGTAACAATGAACAAAATGTCCCCTCTTTCACTCATCAGTAAGACAGGGAAACTTCTTTCCTACCTACGAAGTCAGCTGTGAGGGTTAATTAATTATGCTTTACAAGGCACTGTGAAGGGTCTATAAAGGAAGGTTAAGGGGACGTTTTAATCCGCCATAATTTTTCTATCTGCTCT